TTTTTTAAAATTATCAATGAAAAAAGTGGGGGGGGGGGGGGGGGGCAGTGAAAATGGGAAATTAAAAAAAAAGGCTTTTTTTAAATGATACGGGGATGTATTTCGGAAAGAAATAACTGCCAAAAAAGGGTGATAGGCGGTGGGTTAGGGGTCAAGTGCTATTTAGATGCAGGTCAAATAACTTGAACACATAAACATGGTTGAGGTCAAGGTACACTTTTTAAGCAGTTGATGAGATTGTGGTCAGTGGTATTTCATTTATAATGGTTTATGTACCTGTAAAGTGTAAATATTACCTATTAGGAATCACCGAAGTCGAGTGTACAGATTAGGTCAATGAGGACAACTGTCACCGAGTTGGCGACTCGATAATTTCACGCATGATGGCTGCTCACTCTGCTGAAGGAAGTCTCTAAATCAAGCCGTAATAACATCAACGCTATAGAAGCCCACCTTCCTGCACCATCCATGCCCAGACTGGGCCCACATTCCTACACCATCCATACCCAAGGGTGGCCCCACATTCCTGCACCATGTATGCCCAGGGTGGCTTCACATTACTACACCATCCATGCCCAGGGTGGCCCCACATTCCTACACCATCCATGAACAAGGGTGGCCCCCCATTCCTGCACCATGCACGCCCAAGTGTGGCCCACATTCCTGCACCATCCATGCCAAAGGGTGGCCCCACATTCCTGCACCATTTGTGCCCCAGGATGTCCCCACATTCCTGCACCATCCGTGCCCCAGGGTGCGCTTGGGGTTATCTTATGACCTTGTGAAGTGGAGGTAATTTCCCTAGACAATGTCCAGGAATCTCGCCCCTCTGGTGCATTGCAGGTGGGAAGCAAACAGAAGCCTCGGTGGAATGCAAAGTGTCAATATAGGCATAGAATGTTTGGAATAACATAGAGTTTTTTTATCGTTATTTAAGCTTGGCGATGGTCATTTCAACTCATTTTATATTTTATTTAAACCATTCGTCTTTGCTTTCGACAGTGTTCGCGAATGAAAAAAAAAATGTAGAAAAAATATGTTCATTACAGCAGCTTTTAATGATTTAGTTGGAGATTCATTAAAAAATAACGTATCGAATCAAGTGGAGGTAAGTATGACAAACGTGTATTTTCTTTTAGCTAGATCGGAATCGAAAATAACACAGTAAAACTAGTTAACGCATTCTGGTGCCTTTAAAAAAAGCGATTAGAATGTGACTCCCAAATGAAATAGAACATAACTTAATTGTTTTTGAATACAGATACTGTTTTATGGCTTATCAGTTTTCTCCCTTTTACAAACACACTTACTATTCACACCAACAGAGCTGACTGAGACTGTCGACGGTCAACGACCATGCTGTCTTTACGTGTACAATAGTAGCCCACAAATTTCAACCCCCCAAAAAAGAGGAAAAATGATCGCCGTATACATTGAGAGTAAAATCAACACTACAATGCTCTGCACATCTACCCTCTTTACCTGTTTTGTCACGCCATTGCGAAGCCGTTGCCATAGTATCAAAGATGTCTGCTGACTACTAAAAGAAAAAAAAAATAACAACTCATGGATCAGCCTAAGAGATCGCCGACCGTCAGATGGTAACAAATGGTAGACTGCCTTCCACAATTCCTTTCCATAGTTCAGCGCCATCTCTTGTTGATCGCCGACCGTCAGATGGTAACAAATGGTAGACTGCCTTCCACAATTCCTTCCCATAGTTCAGCGCCATCTCTTGTTGATCGCCGACCGTCAGATGGTAACAAATGGTAGACAGCCTGCCACAATTCCTTCCCATAGTTCAGCGCCATCTCTTGTTTGAGTTTTGCGCTGTTCTGTTTCATTCGGTTTGTCTATTTGTAGTTATGCTCACCCGGGATACCATATTGGGAACAGGTGCTATCTCTGAAGACTACGTGCACATAAATTGGTGCAGTAGTTGCCCCTCCCCTCCCCCATTATTATCGTCTAAGCCAGAGGCGGGGCCGTGTAACCTTTGCGTGCATGGAGCCGCGTGAATTTTCATCTATTTTGGCTGGCTGCCAAGTTTCTAGGAATTTTGAAGTCTATACGCAAAATGAACATATTTCTCAAAGCTTATTTAAAATTCAACTCGAAAAATTGCAGTTGTTCATTCCTTAAAAAAAAAACAGCAGTGATTATACTTACTAAAATGTTACCATTTTACTTTGGTAATAAAACTATTCAAAGTCTTCCACAGACAAACATTCACAGTTAGCGCATGTCAAAGCAGGCGAGATAATTTGTTCATGTTTTGGGATCGGTGCTGTTAAGTCGATGATTGGTGCTGCTCTGACGATGATTGGTGCTGTTAAGTCGATGATTGGTGCTGTTCTGACGATGATTGGTGCTGTTGGGTTGATGATTAGTGCTTTTGGGTCGATCTCCCAATCGAAGTCACAATAATTATGAATGCCCAATTGCTTCTCTGATTCTAGTTTGCATTTCCTTTTTTCCAATCACTTTTCTAATCTTAATGCCCTGGTATTCGAGTGAAGTCTCGTTCTCCAGTGGGTTCAATGGTTGAGCCAAGTAAATATTTAATTATAAATCTTTTCTCTACATTACATACACATTTCGATGAAAATTATCCCATCCCCATTTTGTCCAAATGAATAAAACAACGCCAACAGGTCGTGACATTTTCTTTTATATTTATATAGGAATACATATTTAAATGTACATAATTGGTGAGTTAATTTTAACAAGAAAATTTAAATAAAATAATTACTGCACAAACTTTGAAAATAAATAAGACAATATATTCACTATCAGATGATTTGTTTATTTAAAACGTTTCATTTAAATGTAAATTATTCACAAATAAGAATCCTAAACAAATGTGTACATGTATGTTGTAATGATAAGAATAATATAGTAGTGTTTGCTCTACAGATGTTCAATTGGAACTGTTTATTTTTCGCTGTCTTGACTTCATTTTTTTTACGGGATATGTTAATTTTAATAGATTACTGCCCTACCACACATTCCCCCACAACATTGCATCTAGTGATTAATCGCCACAACTGTTGTGTCAGAAAACAAGACAGAAGTCCACGTCTGATATTGTCAATATAAGTATAGGAATTTATTAGCTGTAGTTAAATAGGGTAGAACTGAAACAGCAGTGTGAGAAACAACACATAATCGATGCAAAGTTCAATAA